AGGATGAAGGTGATTCCCCAAGTCCCTAGGTGGCTCATAATCTACAACATGACTGAGACCTCTACATTTCTTAAAGAGTTGCCACAGAAAAGGTTTCTGCAATCTGCAAGTTCTATCTCTTTTGCTTCATGATGAAAAAAACCAACCAAACATAAACAGACTCTTGCACCCATGTGTTGAAATCACATTAACAATTATGAGCTGCTGGCATTTAGCAAGTGGATTATCTTCTCTAATTCTTGCAGTACATGCAGTACTGTTATTGTTCCCATTTTACAGATAAGGAAATTGAGGCTTATAGAGGTGAATTAACTTCTGCCAGATCATATAACTAATAAATGCCAGAACTTGGATATGAACCAAGGTGGGCCTCTTTCCACAGCTCATGCTCTTGTCCACTTCATGGGAATACAAAGAAGACTGAAAAAGAAAGTGCATTGAATTTTTCTACCTACGTTTGTCAACCACTTTTTTTAAAAAATACTACTAAATCCTCCTTTCAATTTGTTGCATAAAACTTCAAATTATATCCTAGAAAAGAGCAGACTGTTTCTATTCTGGTTGAAGTGGAGAGTGGACGGCCACCACTGCCCCTATATTCCCTCCCACCTTAATTCCACTTTCAGCTGTCCACATACTCCTCTGATCCTGCCTCTTTCTCCCTATTACAGGCTCTGCTTCCCTGTCCTTAGGCCAAGTGGACCCAAAGGCTCAACCCTCAATCCTCCATGCATTTCCCCCTCCACTCGCCCTCCAAGACACTCAACTCCCTGATCTTCATCTACGACCATCCGTTCATGATTCTCAAGTGCTTGTCTCCAAGTCCACATTCCTATTGGCTTATGGGACACATGAGGTGAAATCTTTTCCAAGAGTCCTGATGGATTTAAGGTTGAAACAACTGACTGGTCATAGGGGTATAAATGTATTAGAGCTGTTGTCCCCAACCCCTGGGCCGCAGACCGGTACCCATCCATGGCCTGTTAGGAAAGAGGCTGCAGTGCAGGAGGTGAGCAGCAGGCAAGCCAGCCAGTAAAGCTTCATCTGTATTTGCATCTGCTTCCATCACTCACATCATCGCCTGAGCTCCACCTCCTGTCAGATCAGCGGTGACATTAGATTCTCATAGGAGCGCGAACCATACTGTAAACTGCGTGTGCAAGGGATCTAGGTTGTGTGCTCCTTATGAAAATCTAATGCCTGATGATCTGAGGGGGAGCTGAGGCAGTGATGCTAGTGCTGGGGAGCAGCTACAAATACAGATCATCATTAGCAGAGAGGTTGGACTGCACAGACACCATAGTAAGTCAATTGCTTGCAGACTCATATCAAAACCCTATCAGTGAGTGACAAGTGACAATCAAGCTGCATCTGGTGGCCGGCTTTATAGTGGCAAGTGAGTTAATGTACTTGAGTTGTACAGCCGCATCTGGCAGCAGACTTTAAGTAAGAATCCCACACTTATTTTAATCAATGCATGGCCCGCTCACTATTTTGCTCACCACTTCCATTCATGCCTCTTTCCCACACTGCACACTTGTTTCAGTCACAGGTTTGCTAGGTTAGCCCAGAAGCTAACCTAGCAAAAATGAGTAAAAAACAAATGTCACTGGAGAGCTTCTTTGAAAAGGGGAAAAAACCCAGTGATGAGACAGCGGAAGACTCTAAGACTGCCAACAAAATGAAAGCTGCATTTAAAAGAAAATACCAACAGTTCTACTTAAATTGCAGGTTCATTGCAACAGGTGATTCACATTCTCCAAGCCTGCTTTGTATAATATGTGGTGACCGGCTAGCCAATGAAGCTACAAAACCTTCAAAGCTGCTTCACCACGTGGAGACCAAGCACCCTGCATTGAAAGACAAGCCTTTGGAGTTTCTCAAAAGAAAAAATGTGAACACGAAGAACAGAAGCAATTATTGAAGGCCACCACTTCATCAAATGTGGCTGCACTGAGAGCATCATGCTTAGTGGCTAACTGCATTGCTAAAGCTAAGAAGCCTTTTACTATGGGTGAAGAGTTAATCCTGCCTGCTGCTAAGGACATTTGCTGTGGACTTTCAAGATAGGCTGCAGTTCAAAAGGGGGCACATGTTCCTCTTTTGGCTAGCACCATAACTAGACGAATTGACGAAATAGCAGAGGATAGTGAGCACAGTCGTTAGAGAGGATTAATGAGTCACTGTGGTATGCAACCCAGGTTGACGAGTCTACTGATGTTGACAAGGCAACAAGACCTGTTTTTGTGCAATATTTTTTCAGGAGGATGTGCATGAGGAGATGTTATATGTGCTTTTGTTGCCAACCAATACCATAGCTGCAGAACTATTCAAGTCTTTGAATGATTACATATCAGGAAAAATGAATTGGTCATTGTGTGTTGGTACAGGCATGGACAGAGCAGCTGCCATGACTGGACGGCTGTCTGGTTTCACTACTTGGGTCAAGGGGGTCGCTTCTGAATGTGAGTCTACGCACTGTGTCATCTATGGAGAAATGCTGGCTAGCCGAAAAATGTCACCTGAACTAAACATTTTGCAGGATGTGATTAACATTATCAACCACATTAAAGTACATGACCTTTACTCACGTCTGTTTGTGAAGCTCTGTAAGGAGATGGACACAGAGCACACATGTCATGTTTGAGACGACTTCAAATCTCCAAATGTTCTGGATTGAAGTCAAGGTGGAATATCCTGAGATTGCCACAAAAGCACTGAAAAGCCTGCTTCCATTTCCAGCATCCTAACTCTGAGAAGCAGGGTTTTCTTCAGTGACAGCAACCAAAACAAGATTACGGAGTAGACGTGACATAAGCAACACACTTTGGGTGTCACTGTTGCCCATCACTCCCAGACGGGACCATCCAGGTGCAGGAAAACAAGCTCAGGGCTCCCACTGATTCTGCATTGTAGTGAGTTGTATAATTATTTCATTACATTACATGTTACAATGTAATAATAATAGAAATAAAGTGCACAATAAATGTAATGTGCTTGAATCATCCTGAAACCATGCCCCCCATCCCCCGATCTGTGGAGAAATTATCTTCCGTGAAACCGGTCTCTGGTGCCAAAAAGGTTGGGGACCACTAGAGGATGGTTCCTTTAAGCTGCTCAGAGGATGTACCTCAGGGATGGCTCTGATTATCTTTAACTAACTGGTGAGGAGAATCTCCCCACCCTGTCCTCACTCTGCTGCCCTTCTCCCCAACACACTCCCTTCCACCTGCCTGACCTGAGGGCACTCAACCCTGAGAAGAGCGCTGCATGAACAGATGGATTGGCACAGGTTTATAAGAGAAAAATTTTTCTTCTCGGTGCTTCCTGTCACAGAACTAGGGTTGTGGAGTCAGACAGACCTGGCTTCAAAACCTCCTCAACTACTTACAGCTGTGTGATCTCTCTAAGCTAAGATTTCTCATCTGAAAAACTGGGATAATAATACAAGTTCTTGCTCATTGTTTTGTTGGGAGGAGAGCATGAGATAAATAATGTAAGCACTGAGCACAGTGACTGGCCTGGAATAGGTTTCAGTGGATGGTCATCCTTAGTATTATTTTGTAGCCCTTTGTTTTTGGGACAGCTGGTGAGCTCTGTAGCCCCAGGCATTACTAAAGCAAGGCCAAGGCTTTGGAATGCTGGCTTATTTTTAATTAATTAATTACTTATTTATTTTTACAGCTCAGCAGATAACTAAAGAAAGAAAAAGAGATAAAAGGGAAGAAATTTTCCACAAATGGGGTACTGACTACTACTCCTCATTAGGCATCATGGGAGTTGCTTTATCTTTCTGTCTCTTGTAACCTCCCACCGTCCAGTTGGGGAATGAGAGCTGGACTTTACTGCTCCCATGTATTCAGTGTTTCTCAAAGTGTATTCTGTGGACCAATGAGCATCAGAAGCACCTGAGGAGGTACCCTGATCTAGAGCCTCAGAATCTCTGGGGCAAGACCAGGGAATCCATGTTATAACCTGATTTCCAGATGATTGTCATCAAGTGTGAGGATCTTTGATTTGGTGCTTACATCACATAATCTGAAATTTGATTCTATATTTTCTTGTATTTATACATGTAAGCATTTTCTCCTTTACTTAGGTAATAAATTCTCCAAGGTAAAGATCATGTTTTTTAGTCTTCTTGTAACCCCACTAGTGTACTAGTGTACAGCTCCATCCTAAGTACATCATCGGGAATTAATGAGAATACTTGCCTGGGTTTAGTTTTCTGCCCTGCAGGGTCCTGATCTGTCAATGCCTAAAGATTAGTAGAGACCTCAAATTAGAATGGCAATTCTCCAATACCCAATATTATTTGATATACAACCTGAGTTTTTAATCATATTTTCTCATTGTCAGTGGTGTATGTGTGGGGTAGGTTCTTTAACTGGTTAATGTATTGTGATTCCTGAATTATTGACTAGGGAACAAAATTAATGAGTCCCTTAAAAGTAAAGCCCATTCCAAGTTTCAGAGTATTTGTAAAACAGAAACTCACAGGCCTTCCTGCCTTCCCTTCACAGAAAGCTAGGCAAGGCAAAATGCCTTCTGTCCAAAATGATTTCAACTTTTAAACACATGAATGGAAACATAATTTTCATTACAGAATCAGCAATGATACATGCTAATTTTAGGGGAAAGGAAGGATTTGTTATTTTATGATGTATTCATTCCTGAGAAATTGAGAGGTTTGCTGTATGTTTTTATGGTAGTTTTCTTTGAGGGTCTATAAACACCTTCTGGAATGTGGAGGTTCTACCATCAGAGTCATATGGGAGCTTTTCCATTGCCCTAATGTCATTAACCCCACTGCTTTGGTTGCTGTGATGTGTAATTATTTCTTGTACATTCAAAAAGCAATTCTCTGATCTCCGACCCATTAACCATGTTTGATCTTTAACAAGATGAAAAATGTTTGGAATCTAAGGCTCTGATCTTTGTGCTACATTTTTCTTCTCTTAATTCACAGTAGCTTTTCCTTCCCTCTTCCTCTTCTTTAGGATCAACACTCTGTGGTAGGCCAAAACGCAGGCCCCAATCCAAGTCCCAACCCCTGCTCAAATCCAAACACTGGAAGTGGTTACGTGAACTCCCAGCAATCACTGTTGAATCAGCAATTGATGGGAAAGAAACAGGCTCTCCAGAGGCAGATCATGGAGCAGAAACAGCAACTTCTTCTGCAGCAGCAGATGCTGGTTGACACGGTAAAATTTTCTCTGAATTTCTACTGCACCTACCTGTTGGCCCAACAGAGGGGAGTTCATTCTTTCCCATGTCTATTTACTGCCTTTTTCTCTGTGCCTACAGCAACAAGGGTATTCTGGCTGTAAGGAAGGATAATTCCATACATTTAAAGTGCTGTGGGAAAAAAAAACACAAACTTGATTTACCAGCTGCTGGACACTTGGAATGTATGGCACCTCCGCTGACTAGCCCTGCCCAGCACAGGAATGTCTCTAGAACTCTCCAACGACCAATGTGGGCATTTGAATCAGGCAAAAGAAACCAGTGTTATTCCCCAGCCCTCAGGGGGAAAAATTGTGAACAAAACTTTAATCAACTCAAACCCAAATTGATATTAGAGATAAAAGACTTTAAAAAGCAGTTTTAAAAGTCAACATGGAGTTTCAAAACTAAGATTTGGCTTCAAAAATAAAACGTCTCACAATAATGGATGCTCTTTAAGAAAATTGAAAATGTATTTCTCATTTTCACCAAGGTCATGTTTCCCACACACAACCCACGCTTTAACCCTGCTTCAATGTTTATCTGCTGCCTTCTGTATTCTCAGACATGTTCACATACTCAGCAGCAGATCCAAAGCCTTCCTGCCTCCCAAGACCATGGCCCCTAGATTCAGTCTCTCCCTTCAAAGTATTTGTTCACATGAAATAAGAAATATCCATCTCCAGGTCAATAGAGCTGAGGTACACGGAAAAGAGAAAAATCAAGTGATTTTATACTCAAAGAACTTTGTAGTAAGAGTCAGAAATGTAGGGTGTGATAAGTATTATAATTATTCAGTAAATATTAATTTATAATGAGGATACAGCCATAAACAAGACAGACCCTCTCTTTGCCCTAAAGAAGCCTAGAGCCCTCTGAGGATGTGTCAAATAAATAGGCAGTTGTAATGCATGTGGTTAAATGCTATGCCACGGGAACTGCTAGAAGTGGTTTCAGGGAGAAATTCTATCTACCGAAGATCTGAAGGTGAAGTAGAACATGGGAGGAAGAGTAGGGGGGTTGTTTCAGTCAGCAGAACTGGTATATTCAAAGACCCAGAGCCAATAAAGGATGCTATATTTTATGTTTGCCAAGGTGTAGATTGTGCACAAGGATGGGGAAGTGACAGGCAAAGAGGCCAGAGATGAGAGGCTAATGCTTGATAAACCAGAATTTATATTGTCTAGAAAGCAATGGAGAAGATTTAAAAAATCTGACACAAGGAACTACTAGATTCAGATTTGCATTATAGTAAAGGTATCAACCTAGTAAGAGAAAATGCAATGGAGAGAATGATTCAAGCCAGCCTGGAAAGATTGAAGATAGTCTCCCAGAAGAGATAAAATTTGACTTTGACTTTGAAGGATTGTAGGGTTCTTTCTGATAGAGTAGGTGGGCTCCACCATTCTAGATGGAGGATGGGCCAGAGACCAAAAGGTGTAGTCTGGGTGTGTATTTGTTGGTTAGTTTGAGATTGTACTATGAAATATTTAATGCACAATGAAAAGTATAAATAACGATGTAAGAATCACATATGTTTTTCAAGGAATGAAAAATGGATTAAGTTTGGAGTCCACGGTATGTGAAAAGAAATAGTGAGAAATAAATTTATTTAACCTTGAATAAGAAATAGTGAGGAATAAGAAATAGTGAGAAATACATTTACAAATGACCTTGAGCAGTGGTCCCCAACCTTTTTGGCACCAGGGACTGGTTTCATGGAAGACAATCTTTCCATGGATGGGCAGGAGGGGGTTTGGCATGATTCAAGTGCGTTACATTTATTGTGCAGTCAGACATCTCTGCTAATGATAATCTGTATTTGCAGCTACTCCCAGTGCTAGCACCACCACCTCAGTTCCACTGCGGATCATCAGGCATTTTTATAAGGAGCACACAACCTAGATCCCTCACACGTGCAGTTGACAGTAGGGTTCGTGCTCCTATGAGGATCTAATGCCACCGCTGCTGATCTGACAGAAGGCAGAGCTTATGTGGTGATTTGAGTGATGGGGAGTGGCTGTAAAAACAGAGGAAGCTTCACTCGCTGGCCCGCTTCTCACCTCGTGCTGTGCAGCCCGGTTCCTAACAGGCCATGGACCAGTACTGGTCCACAGCCCAGGGGTTTGGGACCGTGGACCTTGAATACTGCCTTAAGGTATAAGGGAGCCACTGACTAGATCACAAAGCGACATAATTGATTTCTTCTTGAAATCATAGTTTTTAAAATTCCAGTCTTCGCACCCATTCCCCCCTCCCACCTTTTTTTTATTCTTATAAACTAAAGAGCTTAGAAACAAGGGCAGCAGAAGAGAAAAGCGTACAATCTAAGATTGATTTACTGGGTACACTTTCATCACTACCATCAATACTACTAACTTGATGAATTATAACATGCAGAGGGTGCGTTTCTGGATTTTTGGCTCTGGTTAAAAGGCAAGGAAGTGGTAGTGTACACATCCCATGAGGGTCCTGTTCTGGCACTGGCCTGACTCCCAACAGCCCCAGTTGAGTCACCACTGGGCCAGGTGCAAAGGGCAGTGGTATACGCTGTGCAAGATGAATGAGAATGAGGCTGCCGTCTGTGTGATTTTTATAAACCATTCACATTTCTCTTTGTTTGGACACCATTGAGGGTGCCTGTGCTTTTTAGCATATTCAGGAAGAAGCAGTCTTTGATACTACTTTTCATTAGCATATGCTTTGTGGTCGGTTGCAGTCAGTTGGCAAGGCCAGATAGGCGCCTAAATTGAGACCTTTTCTCATGAAAGTTTGTTATCCTTATTCTCTCTTATTACAATGGGCATCATAATTACCAACACGTACTGTACACCTACTGTGTGCCAGGCACCACACTGAGTTTTTACAGAATTAAAGGATTAATCCTTACAGTAGGCGTATGAGGGAGGTCCTCATACTTAATTACATACATAATTGCCCATATCTTGCATTTTTGGAGATGGTGCAACTGAAGCAGGACAGATATACTATAACAGATGATTTCTATAGTAAGTTTTGAGGTCCAAGAGATTGGGTTATCATTAGACATTAGTTGATAAATTAAATTTTATGTGGCATAAAAGTAACCTCAGGGATGTTTACACTCGGATAGAATAGGAATGTCATTCTCTTCCAAAATGTGGCCATCTCCATTCAGTATTGGAGTCTGGTCTTTGCTCCTCTTCAGCATAAAGTGACAACATGACAGTTCTATGTTATGTCCATAAGCAAGGTTATTAATTCTAACTCATTCGTGAACAGGTAATTTTAGAAACTTAGATTTCCAGAGATGTATATGATAAGCCTTTTAACAACAACAATTTAGCCCTCGGGGTAATAAAAAGTCAACAATTAGATTGAAGATACATAAAAATAAATCTACATTTGAAATCTAGTCTATGATGGGGCATCAAAGGCCTCATTGTCACACACACACACACATGCACACACTTACACATCCTGTCTTCCTCAGTATTTTCAGCAGAAATATCTAATTACATAAGAAAGAATGACAGATGCTTTTGGAAAAGAGAAGATTTCAGAAAGTTTTTATGTTGGCATAAAAATCAAAACTGTCATCTTACACAATAGTTTACAACAGGGCTGGTTGAACATCACCACATTTGGGTTCATGGAACATCTCAAGCTATTTCTTAAACATTCAGGGTTTGAGCAAAACCAAAAAGAGTTTCACCAACCACTTTTCCCTTAATTCGTAAATCTATGCTTAAAAGAAATATAATCCATATGTTTCTGATTCATTTACACTTAGCTCATCAAAATTGTGTTTTAGATGAATTACTTATGTCCCAAAAAACTGTGAGTCTTTCAAGTTTTTTTCTTAGCAACAAGAACTTGAATTTGGTTTGTTGTTGTTTTAAGACTTTTTTTCCTCCTTTATAGTAGACTTACCCTGCTAAAAAGAAGGTTTGGAATTTGATGGGAAACTGAGAAACACATGGTTTAAAGTGAGTTCTAAGTTAGTGCACATTTGGCTTCCAGCTAATTTACCCATGTATCTATTACAAAGTTTTCTTTTCTGTTTATTGACTTTTCTACAATTATAGTGTTCTCTCTCTACCTATGCCAATTATTTTTATCTTTGAAAATGGAGGTTGCCATGGGATGCATACAAAATTGCAGTGAAGCAATTCTAAAACTTCCTGATCCATACTGAGCAGGAAGAAAAGCAGCCCTTGATGTCCAGAACTGATAGGATGTAGCCAAACCATTTTGTTCTCTGTTGAACATAAATAATCTTATAGAATATCAACCTCAGACAAGGTTACTCTGAGACTGTGGTGGAATGAGACAAAATAAGGAGACTTTATAATTTTGTCTAAAGGTCCCATTGTGCAACCCCTAAAATGCCAAACATCCCCCTCTCTTGAGCTAAGTGAGTGATAGCTACTTTACTTCATCACAGAATCAACCTCATTTTCTGATAGCTTCCAATCTAGAACAAATCCCTATTTTCTTAGACCCTCCCTAAATTACCCAAAGTCCAAATCCTTTCATAGGTTCTTTCTAACACGCTCCTACTGGGACACCCCATGACCTCCCATGATTGAGTTCTCCCTTGATGCGATGAGTAAAACATCCAACAGGTATGTCCTGGTGGTTTTGGCTAAGGGCATTGACAAGATTAAAAGAATATCTCTCTTTTCTCTGTTATCTCCCACACTTACCTTTTCTAAAGATCTAAAGGTGGCTGATTCCAGAAGGAAGAAAAGAAGGGATTCTAAGGAATTTCTGTGCTTTTAGAATGGGGCCCTGAGAAACAGAGGAGCAAGGAGCCCTTGTATTGTGTGGCAAGAAAGAGCCTGAGTTTTGACTCAGGATTCTGTCTCTGTTCTACCACTGTGTGACCTTGAGCAAGCTACATAGCCTAACAAAGCTTCCGTTTCCTCATCTTGTAAGTGGGAATAATCATACCTACTTTTCAGGATTATTTGTAAGAGGGTAAAAAAGAAATAATATGAATACGGTACCTATACCATTACCTGATAGGTTATCTCCTAACATCTCACCCTATCTAGGGTTGCCCTATGGAGCAAATAAAAATGCAGAATGCCCAATTGTTCTGTAAACAGAACTTTTGTTCTTACAAAATAAAGGATATGAGAGTAGCTACTAGATCCAGTGTTACGGAGAAGTAGAAATTATACTTCCATGCAGGAAGTTTATTGAAATTGCAAAGACTTACCTCTAAATTAAGACTAATAAGTAAGGTTATAATTCATAACCCATGACTGCAAAATTGTTCTTATATTCTTATTTTTTGAATAATATCATATAAATTTTTACAAGTGAAAAAGTAACAATACAATTTAATATGTTTTCATTTGTATTTTCAAGGAGAAAATGGCTCCACAAGATCAGATAAACCGACATCTGACAAGGCCACCCCCAGATTATAAAGACCAAAGAAGAAATGTGGGCAATATGCAACCAACTGCTCAGTATTCTGGTAAGTGTTCTTAAAATTTAATAAAAACGGTAACTGTGAAAACAAGAAAACTCTTCAATTTTCAATATTTTCTCCTTTCCCCATCTCATATTTGATTGTAATGTCTTTCTTAGGATCTTTTGCTCGCTCCCATTTGGCTTTCATATCAAGACCACACTTAAATATTTTTCAGTTCTTTCGTCAGTTCTTGATTGTTTTTGCCCTATATTCACATACTTCACTGCTTTCCAAACTACTTTTGAAAATTCAAAAGAGCTCAATATTTTCTAACTGCTAGATTCAATCATACTCCTCCCAATGGCATATCTTGCCCCAGGTAGTGGAGAGTAAGCAGATGTTTCTCCCTCTTAGACAGGTACTTGTGTAACTTGCATAGAGCCTAGTCCTATTGTCTCCACCTTTGAGCTCATCTCTCCAAATTTTCTCCTTCAAGGACAAATAGTCCTACCACCAAGGAATAAATTGAAAAACAAATTAAGTTTTTAGGAAGGCTCTCAAAAACACCAAATGTGGACTCCATTTAAATCATAAAGCAAAATTTCTTAATAGCTCTCTCAATATAAAATAGGTGGTAAGCACCGCCCCCAAAATCTCTCTCCACCCATTCTCTGAACTGCAAAAAAAAAAAACCTTTCCCGAACCCAGCCTGTCCTGCTCCTGCTTTCTCCTATTCAGCACCTATTCAACTCTCTTCTGCCCAAAAGTCTGCACTTTACCCTGTAAGTTAAACTTATCCTCTTGAGTTTCCAAAGTTCTCTCTGCGTCACTTGTTACCTTCATCTGTCCGGGAAGCCATCAAGAAGATTCTCTAAAGGAGAAGCTGTGAATACTCCTATCTATTAGTATTTCCTAGTACTATTAAGTGTAGTTTTAAATATGTTGGTCCTAATTTATTTAAACTCCTTCAAATGCACCAGGTTGCCTCTTCTGACTAAAATTAGGAATGAAGCCAACATGTGCCTGTAGTCCCAGCTACTCGGGAGGCTAAGGTGGGAGGATTACTGGAGACCAGGAGTTCGAGGCCAACTTGGGCAACATATGGAGACCCTGTCTCTGAAAAAATAAATATGTAAATAAATTAAATTAGGAATGGAATATATGTGTTCCACTCTCTAAGATGACTTTGCCTCAAGGCAAAAACAGGATTCTCTATTTGTCCTCAAGGAAGTTGAAAGACAAGATGGTGTTTATAGTCATATGTTGATTGACAATGGGGATATGTTCTGAGAAATGTATTGTTAGGTAATGTCATCATGGGAACATCATGGGGTGTACTTACATAAACCTAGATGATATAGCCTACTTACTATACACCTAGGTTGTATGGTATAGCCTATTGATCTGATTCTACAAACCTATCCAGCATGTTACTGTATTGAATACTGTAGGCAGCTGTAACAGAATGGCAATTATTTGTGTATCTAAACATACCTAAACATAGAAAAGATATGGTAAAAATATGCTATAAAAGATTAAAAATAATACACCTGTATAAGGCACTTACCGTGAATGGAGCTTGGAACTGGAAGTTGCTTTGGGTGAGTCAGTGAGTGAGTGGTGAGTGAATGTGAAAGCCTAGGACACTACTGTGCACTACTATAGACTTTATAGATACTGTACACTTAGGCTACACTTTAATTTACTTTAATTAATTTATTTTAAATTTTTTACTTTATAAACTTTTAAATTTTTTAAACTTTTGACTCTTTCATAATAACACTTAGCTTACAATACAAACACATTGTATAGCTGTACAAAAATATTTTTTTATTTATATCCTTAGTCTATAATCCTTTCCTCATTTTTCACAATTTTTAAATTATTTTTAATTGACACATAATTGTACATATTTGTGAGGTACAGTGGGTATTTCAATACATGTATACAATGTGTAATGATCAAATCAGGATAATTAGTATATCCATCATCTCAAACATTTATCATTTCTTTGCATTGGGAACATTCAAAATCCTCTCTTCTAGCTATCTGAAAACCTAGTATAAATTTCTATTAACTATAGTCACTCTACAGTGATTTAGAACACTAGAACGTATTCCTCCTGTCTAACTGTAATTCTGTATCTGTTAACCAACCTCTCTATATCTCCTCTCCCCCACCTCCCTGCTTGTTTCCCCCACCTCTAGTGACCACAGTTCTGCCCTCTACTTCAGGGAGATCAACTTACTTAGCTTCCACATACGAATAAGAACATCTGGTGTTTATCTTTCTATGCCTGGATTATTTCACTTGAATTTAAAAAAATTTTTTTTTTTAATTTTTAAACTTTTTATTAAGAGCTAAGACACAAACACACACAGTAGCCTAGACCTACACAGAGTCAGGATCATCTATCGATTTTTTCTACCTCCGTATCTTGTCCCACTGCAAGGTCTTCAGGGGCAATAACAGGCATGGAAATGTCATCTCCTATGACAACAATGCCTTCTAGAATACTTCCTGAAGGACCTGCCTAAAGCTGTTTTACAGTTAACTTTTTTTTTATAAGTAGAAAGAATACATTCTAAAATAAATACTAGGTGCTAGGAATTTTTCAGCTCCACTGTAATCTTATGGGACTATCATCATGTATGTTGTCCACGGTTGACCAAAACATCATTATGTGGTACATACTATATTTGAAACACGGCTTATTATACTGTGGTCTATAAATTCAAGGTGGATGTCTAGGTTTTTCTTTTCCCCACTCACATAAAAGAATCCCAGGGATGGTAGTCTAGGGCTGGTTTGGTGGCTGCACGGTGTTATTGGGAATCCAGGCTTCTTTTGCTTTTCTGCTCCACATTCAGCATGTGGCTTCCATGCTCAGGGCTGCCTGGTAGCCACCACCTCACCAGCCTTCATATCTATATTCCAGGTAGGGAAAGGAAAGAAGAGAAAAGGTAAAATAGCCCCCCAAATGATTCAGGGTCCCTTTTTTAAAGCAGTTTTTTTGGACTTCCAACTATTAAATTCTACCTTTAGCCAGTATCTATTCATCTGGATCTCCCATCAGTAAGGAAGTTTGGGAAATGGGGTTTTTCAGCTGAGTACATTGCTAGAAAATCAAGGCTTCAGGGATGTTACTTCATAAGAGTATCTTTCTCCAAGTTTTCTCTTTGCTTCAATCTCTCATTCATTCATTGATTAATTCAAAAAATAGCAATTGAATACCTACTTTGTGTCATCCACTAGTCTTGGAGAATGTGACAATGAACAACATGGGCAAAAATTCCTTTCCTCAGGGAACTTACCACCTAATAGGCACATTTTTTCCTCTTTCTGGCAGTCCAATTTTGTCTCTCCAGATGTTTTCCTATGATGACTTTAACCTCCCCAAGTCAGGAAGATTTCACTGTGTTGATTGATCATGATCTGTTGTGTGGAGCTTCTCTATTCAGCAGCCTGTGGCTCAGGCACTTGTTCTGCATCCCATCAGTTACTGACAGGTATCAGTTTAACTGGCAGGCACTTTGAGGCTCCATGGATTGCCCAGTACAAAAGCTAAGTGCTAAAGGAAAGATTCAAAGGGCAAATGATGCTGGAGACAGGAGGCTGGAATGTAAGGGAAAGTTTAATGGAGGAGCTTGGGTCTTGGCCTGAGCCTTAAAGAAAAGATAAGGCTCAGTGAGGGAGGGAAATGGTATGAACAAAGGTGGCTCATGGTATAACTACACCTCCTGGAACAGACAGCTTTCCTTATGGAAATAATTACCAGAGCATGGATTATACTGAATTCCAGATGTACAAAGAGTAGGGAATTTACCCTTTGGACACTGGGGAGCCACTTGTGGGATGATACAGATGCAGAGTGGGACATGATTTTCAAGGCCATAGGTTAGGAATATTAATCTAGAAGCCATGTATACAGTTCATCCACACTTTCTTATTTGGATCCTGGGGAAATAGTAGCATGGATTTCATGACAAATGGCTAATCAAAATTGTACTCTTTGGACTTAGAACATCATAAAGCTAATTCAAAATGGAAGATTGACTATCACCTCCCCTTAATGACTCCAGAAGAGGAATAAATTAAAACCTCTAAAATAGAACCATTCCAGTTTAGTCTTCTTTCTGTAACATGTAAACTCTTGAACCAAGGAGTGACCTAGGGTGATATTTCCTCCCAAAAGTTGTCTTGTTCCTTTTATGTAATATATTTGATGACTATTTCTCCTAAATCAATCTTATATCTGAAAGTAGTTTCAGAGTTGATAAGTTATTGCAAAGTGCTATAAAAGAGGAGATAACATAATGTGATGAACTAATATAATTCTCTTCTTTTTCTTAGGTGGCTCATCGACAGTGAGTCTAAACTCTAACCAGGCTTTGGCAAACCCAGTTTCAACACACACCATTTTAACTCCCAATTCTAGCCTCATGTCTACTTCCCATGGAACAAGAATGCCATCATTATCTACAGCAGTTCAGAACATAGGAATGTATGGAAATCTTCCTTGTAATCAACCTGGCACATACAGCATCACTTCAGGAATGAATCAATTGACCCAACAGAGAAACCCAAACCAGTTGATAGCAAATCAAAACAACCCTCTGATGCCACGGCCACCTACCTTAGGCCCAAGTAATAATAACAACATGGCCACTTTTGGAGCTGGAACTGTTGGCACTTCACAACAATTGAGACCAAGTTTAACCCATACTATGGCAAGCATGCCAGCACAGAGAACATCGAACGTAATGATCACATCCAACACAACAGCACCAAACTGGGCCTCTCAAGAGGCAACAACCAAACAGCAGGAAGCCCTGAAATCCACGGGAGTCCGCTTCCCCACAGGGACACCTGCAGCCTATACCCCAAACCAGTCATTACAACAGGCAGTAAGTAGCCAGCAATTTTCCCAGAGGGCAGTGGCTCCACCTAACCAATTAACACCAGCAGTGCAAATGAGACCCATGAACCAAATGAGCCAAACACTAAATGGACAAACCGTGGGTCCACTCAGGGGCCTGAATCTCAGGCCCAATCAGCTAAGCACACAGATTTTGCCTAATTTGAATCAGTCAGGAACAGGGTTGAATCAGTCGAGGACAGGCATAAACCAGCCACCATCCCTGACACCCAGCAATTTTCCTTCGTCCAACCAAAGTTCCAGGGCTTTTCAAGGAACTGACCATGGCAGTGACTTAGCTTTTGACTTCCTCAGCCAACAGGCTGATAACATGGGCCCTGCCCTAAACAGCGATGCTGATTTCATTGATTCTTTGTTGAAGACAGAGCCTGGTAATGATGACTGGATGAAAGACATCAATCTTGATGAAATCTTGGGGAACAACTCCTGAAGAAGAAAGAGGAGACAATTTACAGACTCCAAGCACTAAAAGGCAGTATTTTACAAGGACTCTGTAAAGGCCAAACTGTTGACTTTTAAGTGGACTACATGAAGATACCATGGCCTAAAATTGGAAAGCAGAAAATAACTGCAGTGGTAAACATTTTGGTCCAAATTCTTGTCCTAAATCTCAAAGCTGAAAGTAAAACATTGGGATCACTTTTCCCTGTCTAAACTCCAGGACACAGTATCCAATTTATCCAAACAGAATTGTGATGTTGATGTGTAATTAATTGTGTAAAATAGGCTTCCCAAGATCCTTTTCTCCCTGAAAGAAAGGTAATAGAACTCGTAGCTTATTTAAACCCCATGTCATGAGGAGGTACTGTTAATAGTTTCAAGCAACAAATTCCTTAATTTGCTCTAATAGATACGTGTGGTTTGATTTTTCCACACTGTCTTTTCATTTAATTTTTCTAAATCTTGCAGGATGGATTGAAATGTTATAGGTTAGTTTGGAGAAACCAAACAGTACCCTAAGTAAGGGAAAGCCAGAGAACCTAGAAAACATCCAGTGGAATATAGAATTTCTTCCCTAGATTCACCCCTTACTTTTGCAGTTTTCCCACGTATCCTGTACTGTAGGATGCATGTATAGTGATGAAACAAGAATGTAGAGCTATGAAATGTGATTTTGGCTTCCACAGCCAATTTCTGAATCCATTCCCAAACAAGTTTTAGATACAACCAAGACCTGTCCTGATCACACTGAAATACTGATGCATACCTGTCTCTTTAGATTTCACTTTTTTAAAAAATCCATTGGACATTGCTATAAAGAAGATTTATTTGGCCACAAATAATCTGGGGTATTGCTTATTGTGGTTGATGCCCACTGGTTTATACCCAAGCTGAACGAAATCGAGCCTTGTCCTTCCTGCTTATTTTGATGACCAGAGACTGGTTTGTAAGAAAAGGAAGTTTGGAGACCAACACTGAGATTAGAAGGTATGTTTTGGTTGGAGATAAGAACCAGGAGTGGTGGGTTCAAGTGGTTACAAATCTATTTCTTAGGATTTGAAGGAAAGCATAATTAAGAGGGAAAACAATCTGGCCTTCTTCAGACATGTTACTTGGATTTGGGCGAACAGCTAAATGTTAATGGAATGTGGTCTGTTAGTAGTGGTCTATTCATTCTTCTCTCCCTGACGTGATGAATCATTGCCACATACTAGATGGACCCTTCATGTCCAGGTTTTCTCCCTCAGGGCTGAACACTATTTTTTTGAGTCATTTAACCTCAGTGCCCATATACAAATCAGCTGTAAAATGGGGAAGATGTGTGCTGATTTGGAATGGATGAAAAATATCACCATCATTTTCCTAATTGTAGAGGAGCAAAGGTTATCTTCAGCCCTCTCAGTTATACACTCACATATTCAAATATCAAATATAATTTAACCGAAGTCATTTAATAATCAAGTCTTTAAATATCTGCTCAAAAAAAAAAAAACCCCCACACATTTTGAAAGTTCTACAAAGCTCTCTCCCAATCTTTAAAATGTCTAGAAGCATTCTCCTTCTGTTACACAACACCAACATCACTGGCCCAGAATCCTATCTGTGCTAGGTTGTAAATATAAATAAATTACTTGTTTTGTAAACTTTTGTAAAGAATATTTTGGTAGAAATACTTAAAACATATTCTTTGGGTTATATTTATACATATGTGAAATAAATATACTATCAAAAGGTTATATTTTATACAAAAAGTAAATTGCTACCTTTTGTATGCTAATATACAAAGTTTTGTATAATATGATGGTTTATTTTTAGCTCTACACTTAAACCGTAGGTGATCGAGTGGGGACTTTTAAAAACTATCAAGAGGCTCGTTAGACACATTTATATTCTGAAACCTCAATAAGAAAGCATTCCAGGTTTCAATCCTTTTCTTTTTTTATTTTTTCCTGCTCCCGCATTCTTTTTTAAACCCTTAGTTCTTGTGTCTTATTTGATTATTCTGCTGTGCACATTGTATTGGTCCTTGTTGCATGTGGTCTACTGTGTGTTTTCCCATTTGATAAAACAGCGTTTTTCCATGCAAAAAGAAAAGAAAATATGATGTACATATAAACACTTTTATTTTATGCCTCCTCCATGTTACTGTATATATCTGCCAGCACTTCCCAGTTACACTCCTGTGATTCAGCTTATTTTTCCCCTCACGTAAATAGTATGTTCTGTAGTAGTTATCAAATTTAAGAGATAAAGCAATCAGAATGTTTGGATTTTCTTCTATCTAATGTGAATTTCATAATTAATGTCTATTTATTCAGCTATTCATTAAAATACAGGATTCTTTGGAAAAAAATTGTGTAGTCTATAGTTTCTGTTTGTTAGCAGCCTATTACCAAAGATGAGGTAATTTTCCTGAAACCTGAGATAATGACAATTTGATAGACATATTTAGCCAAAACCTTAGGATTTACAACTTAAGAGCTATTGGAATACAATCTCCCATGTATTGAAATACCAGACTACTTAATTGTTGGTATTGTTTATCATCCTGACATAGACAGGAGGTAGAAGTAACTTTTCTTTTTTTTTTAATTCAAAGACTAGAAAGCAATTTAAGCAAATAATTCATTCTTGGCTTTATGTTAAGCCTAATGAAGACAAATAACTGCTCTAAGTGAATGCACTAATATTACCTGCATTACTGTAACTGTACCCATAACTGTAAAGATCTCAACTTGTAAAACAAGTATTTTGTATTGTGTATCATTTCATGTGTAAAAAAATAGTTTTAAAAAATTCAGAAGTGGTTCTCTTGTCTGAAATCATACTCTCAGTCACCAATGATATTGTTGCTACATCATAGAAAGTTCTGAGAACTATCAATAATAATGGGTACTTAAAGGCAAATTTAGTCTCTAGGAAGCTCTAATACTAGTGAAATGTTGACTTGTCTCAGTGCTCTTTAGTTCATGTAAAAAGTTTGTATTAAAATTCTATATGCATAGCATCTACTGAATACTGAGGAAACACTGCCTGATTCACAGGCACTGTGGGCATTTGCCCGTCCTGCTGTGTGGCATTTGGTCAGACCAGGCTGAGTGAACACAGTGCCAGAAAAACACAGCCCGACTAAGCGTCTTTGCACGGCCCTCCTTGAGAATCAAAGAGGTAAAGAGAAGGATGGACCTTTGTAGGAGGCAAGAGGAACCATTCCAAATTCTCCTTCCCCACTGACTAAATATGTTGCTAGGTTTCCTTTGTCCCTTTCCCCTCAGCCAAAAAAAGTGCGTGAAATTATCTTTTTTATTAGCATTAATGGAGTAATAATAAAATTGACATTTTATATATAGTCCCTGTCCCGGTGAAACTGGCAGGTTGGATAGCATACAAATAAAACCAACATTAATAAAAATAAGTAATATATACACAAAGTAAGAGAGAGAAATGTATAATTCGGAAATTATCTATCCATCCCAGTATATAGCCATGGAAGTAGACCGAGAGAGGAAAAGGGAGGGTAAGAGTGGGCTGGGAGAATAGCTCAGCTTCTTCCTACTCTGTGGTTGCCAAAAGCAGTTCAAATTGTTTATCATTTCATCCACCATTTCCATTTTATATTTCTGTAACTATGTCTCCTCACCCAAAAAAGAGGATTTGGGGCTGAAATATCTCTACATTCCTTTTCAACTCAAACTCAAACTCTGTGATTGATTTTTTTTTTCCAAACATAAGTAGAAAATTAATCAAAATGACTCAGTAGCCTCCTTTTTAAAATAAAAAAAATCACTCACTGGTCACTCAACATTTTGAAAATTTTCAGACTGTCAGTCAACTTTATTTAACAAAGCAACCAATTTCCTTTAAAATTGAATCATTTGAAAGTTAGGTTTCATCATCAGTAGGCCGGAACTAGACTAAACAAGTAGTAAGACAATGTAGATATAGATGCCCACTGACTACACATCAAGCCCTGAAGATCAATCAACAGGTGGGAATGTGATATTAAATGCTCATTTTCCTGTGAGATCATAGAATTTCATAAAGAAAATATTTGCCTACTAGGGAGGAGAAAACCAATACTTTGGGTATATATATATATATTCCATTGGGTATATATTAATGAACTTTTGTGATTTGTAAATGGCACTGCAACATCTTTTAATATCTTTCTTAAGTTCCTATAATAGACAAAGTACAGGTAGTGCCCTTCAATCAACTTTATTGGCAGCAATAACATAACTAAGACCCTGTACCATGAGAATTAAGAAAACATATCAACCTTATATTTTTAAAACCAAATGCTGTTGTGCCTGACCTGCATGCAGTAATATTAACAGAGCTTTTGTTTGTTTACATGCATAGCATCTTAAGTTCCCTTTTACTAAATTTAAGTCGTCTTTCACTCCAAGATGTGCATGAATACAGATGTTTTTATAGTATTTAGGATTCTTCAGCAAAAGAGAAGGAGGAGGGCGAGAAAGAGACAATAATATATAAAATGCTGCATAAATATATAGAAGCTTCTTGTAGCCTTCATGCAGCAAACGAAGGGAATAAGGAAGGAAGAAAGAAGAAAAGAAAGAAAACATATGTCAAATAGGTTTAAAGAAAGGAATTTACTGGTTAACATAACTAAAACTTCTAGGAACTAGTGTAGGTTTCGGCACAGCTGAATCCAGCAGCTCAACAGTGGCAACAAGAATGGGTTCTTTTATGAATTCTCTCACCTTTGTTTCTCTTTGTCTTGGCTCCATCCTCAGGCATGTCCCTCTCTTATGCTGGCACATTCATTGCTACGTGCTCCAGACTTACCTCCTCAAAACTCCAAGTCCAATATAAATAAGAATGGATGCTTTCCTTTCAAAGGATCTGACTTTGTATCTCACAGACTTTGATTAGGGCATCTGCCCATCCCTAAATGACCACTTTGGCCAGGGAAGTACAGTGTTCTGATCAGCTGGGCCTGAGTCAAATGCCCATCCCTGTAGGTGGAGATAGTGTTAATACCACCCAAACCAAATGGACTGAGGGGGAAAAAGACGTGATTTCCCAAAGGAAAATTACTTTGTTATTGTCAGAAAAAAATAAAAGAAATAGATGTAAAAATCAAACCACAAATATCTACTACCCTTTTCTGACTGCCTATTTCCATACACACTGTTTTTCTCATATCTTCAATTTCAAAATCTCACTAATAATCCAGATACACTCACCTCCTTCTCATAGGGAGGTAATCCAAATCTCATATATTTACTTCATCCACCTCCTAGTCCAGCACACCTAGGTGAGGTAAACTCTTCTGCCAAGTTAAGATGGACAAGCAATCTTAGCCCAAAAGATGTTTATCCACCCCCAGTGTTTCCAATAAACATATAGTTGTGGAGAGAGAACAGGATATGGTAATAATGAGTTCTATTTGGAAGAGAAACTAAAATATATAGATCATGTCCTACTGAACAACAAAAGTAAAGACCATTCTAACTCTGAGCATTCCAATCAATGGCTCCTGGAGGAGAGGCATTAAAAACCCTCCTGGGAGGGAGGAGCAAGATGGCGGACGAGAAAAACCACCAACCAGAGTATTTCTGCAAGAAAGACAGATTTTAGAAGAAAGTGAAAAAAATAAACAGTCAGGAAAATATAGATTGGATGAGGGTCAG